CTAGGACGCTGGGGAGGGAGTTAGGGAACCAAGTTTTCTTGAACAGGTAGGGGATGTGTCTACAGCCCCACTTTCATCTGTGGGGTAATATCCATTTGGCTCTGTTCAGAACTAGGCTGCCACATGGCTGCGGCCTATACAGGAGGCCCTAAATAGTCAAAATGCACAAGAAGGCCCTTGTCAGCCAGGATCCCAGCAAGAAACAAATGGCAGTGAAAGAGGTATTGTTGAAGCAGGATAATGTGTGCATGGGCATCTGTTATATAGTCTCTATTTGTCTATATCATCAGGCAGACACAAATTAAAACAGCAATTAGATACCATGACACATTTATTAGAATGGCCAAAATCCAGAACATCAACAGCGCCAAGTGCTGGCAAAGACATCAAGCAACAGAAATTTCATTCATTGCTGGTGGAAATGCAAAATGGTACAGCCAGTTTGCAGTTTGGTGGTGTCTTACAACACTAAACACACTCTTATCATATCATCCAGCAATTGTACTTCTTGGTATTTACCCAAAGGAGATGGAAACATATGTCCATACAAAAGCCTGCACAAGGGCCCTTAGTCAGGTAGCTCAATTGGTTAGAGCAGTGGTCGGCAAACTCATTAGTCAACAGAGCCAAATATCAACAGTACAACGATTGAAATTTCTTTTGAGAGCCAAATGTTTTAAACTTAAACTATATAGGTAGGTACATTGTTATTAACTTAATTAGGGTACTCCTAAGGCTTAGGAAGAGCCACACTCAAGGGGCCAAAGAGCTGCGTGTGGCTCGTGAGCCACAGTTTGCCAATCACAGGGTTAGAGCATCGTCCCTATATGCCAAGGTTGCTGGTTCGATCCCTGGTTAGGTCACATACAAAAATCAACCAATGAATGCAATAAATCGATGTTTCTCTCTCTCAAAAACAAACAAGTAAAACCCTGCACATGGATGTTTATAGCAGCTTTATGCATAATTGCCCAAAGTTGGAAGCAACCAAGATGTCTTTTAGTCAGTGAAGGCCTAACCCGTGGTTCATCCAGACAATGGAAATGAGCCATCAAGCCATGAAAAAACATGGGAGACTCTTAAATGCATTGCCAAGTTAAAGAAGCCAATCTGAAAAGGCAACACCCTGTACTATTCCAACTATGTGACATTCTGGAGACAGTAAAAAGATCAGTGGTTGCCGGAGGTTCAGCTGGGGGGAGGGGGTGGTGGGGAATAGGTGTAGCACAGAAAAACTGAAAATATTCTGTATGAGATACAATGATGGATACATGTCATTATACACTGGTCCCAACCTACAGGAGGCACAGCCATGAGGGAACCCTAGGTAAACATCGGACTTTAGGTGATTATGCGGCATCATGTAGGCTCATCAGTTTTAACAAATGCACCACTGGTAGCACATAATGGCATTGAGGACAGGACTCTGGCACCCGGTCCTCATCACTGGCTCCCACTGACCATAGCTGAGGCATGTCTTACTGGTCCATCTTCACCACATGTTCTCTCTCAGTGCCTGGACAGTGTGACTTCTGGTCTCTGCTCTTGGGAAACACTGTTAAGGACCGGTGGTCGTCCTTTGTATCCCCCAATCCCTGACCCACCTTTCCTCCCCCATCACTCCACCATGCCCTTGACTTGCCTCACCTCAGCTCTCTTGGGGAGGTTGACATCCCTCTGCCCCTTAGCCCCCAGCTCTAGGTGACCCCTCCCGGTGACTCCTGGCTCAATCCTCAGCAGCCCCAAACTTCAGTATAGGGAACTTTCACATCCTTTCTCTGCTTCAAGCGAGCTTTGAGGGAATTTGGGGGAGGGGGTATTATCTCCAGACTTTCTTTCTGCCTAAAAATGACCCAGTGACATTTCTTCCCTCGTGAGGTTGTCTCATGTGGTGCCAGGCTCTCTGAACGGCATCCTTCTCCCAGAATTCTAGATGGAAGGGGGTCAAGCTTCTGATGGATGCCCAATACTTTCTGGAAGTCTTTATCCTCCTCACAGTTTTTAAGGAGAAGAAGAGGATGGTAAACTCTGCCAAGAGATCCAAGTTCTCTATTCTCTCTCCATCCTTCCCTTTCACTATGAATGGGAGGAGGCTGGGGGCCATTCCGGTGGGTACAAAAGTCTGACATTTTGAAAAGCAGGTAGGGCACAAAGTACAGACTTGGAAGGCATCAGCATAGAGGTGAGGGTGAAGCTGTGGGGCTTATAAGTGAGAGGAGATCTTGGTCCAGGGCAGAGTCA